AGAACAGCCATGGTGGCTGAACCCTGCAAAGCCACAGGGGTGGAGTTGCCTAATGCTTTGGGAGCCCAACCCTTGTGCCAGTATGCCCTAAATGAAGGACATGGAATCAAAGAATTGTTTTGAAGCTTTAAAATTTAATGACTGCTCTGCTAGATTTCAATGTGTGGGTCCTGTAACCCCATCCTTTTGGCCGATTCCTCTCTTTACAAATGGGAATGTTTACCCAATGCCTGTACCCCCACTGTATCTTGAAAATAAATAACTTGTTTTGATTTTACAGGCTCAAAGGTGGAAGGAACTCATCTCCAGATGAGATTTTGGACTTGGGACTTTTGATTGAGTTCACGCTGGAATGAGTTAAGACTTTGGTGGACTATTGGCAGCAGATGAATATATTTTGCAGTGTCAGAATACCATGAGAATTTAAGTGTCATGGTGGAATGATATACTTTGAATATTGTCCCCTCTAAATCTCATGTTAAATTGTAATCTCCATTGTTGGGGGTGGGACCTGTGGGAGGTGATTGGGTCATGGGGGCAGATCCCTCATAGATTGGTGTTGTCGTCCCAGTAGTGTGTACTCAAGAGATCTTGTTGTTTAAAGATATGTAGCACCTCTCTCCTTCCTCCTGCTCTGGTCATGTGATGTGCTTGCTCCTGCTTCACCTTCCACCATGAGTAAACACTCCACAAGGCCTTCTCAGAAGCTGAGCATATTCCAGTACCATGCTTGTACAGGCTGTAGAGTTGTAAGCCAATTAAATCTCTCATCTTTTTAAATTATCCAGCCTCAGGTACTTTCTTCACAACGACACAAGAATGGCCTAATACATTGAACAAGTAAAAATGAGTAAAATTTGCTGTTGTTGGTACATCTTCTTTGCAATATGCTTCTTGGTAATAAAGGACAAAGAATGTTTATGAATAATAATTACGACTTTTTTGAGCATATACTATACATCAAGCACTATGTTAAGAACTTGATACAAATATCTCACCCAAACCTCCTAATAACCCTATATTATAACTCACCATTATTGATGATTAGGATACATTATAACTCATTATTAATGAGAAAATGAATGAGTTCCACTTATGGAGGTAAGAGATATCAAAGGTAGTAAACACATTTCTTGAATAAAATGGTAGGAAAATAAATATGGTAAACTTATTAGTTCCCAGGTACATTTCCTGGCATTACTACCATGGATCTTTTGCATTAATTTAAATCCTGTATATCTTTCATGGCATAAATCAAGTCCAAATCCTCCTTAGAAAAACTTCCTCAACATTTAGGTATGAGCTATGTCTTTTTGCTCCTCTGGAATTTTGATTTAGGACCATACCATGTGGATTAGAACATTTGGGGTAAAAAGAAATGCGTTATACCTAGAAGAGTACCTTGTACTTAGGCACGAATAATTCCTGTCAAATGTTGACATCTAACCATTCTGCATTTTTCACCTATAAAAATATTCCATTATGTGACTTGAAAATTCTTATGTTAGGCTTACATATAATCATACTCCATTTAATTCAGCAAATGTAATTAATTTTTACTAATAGATAACAGTTCTCTGTGGGGTTCAGCTGAGCAATCTTTCTCTTGACATCGCTCTCTGGTGATTCATTTTAAAAGAAATTTGAGAACATATACAACTATTTTAAATGAAGAATTTAATATCCTCCTTCCCTGGCTCCCAGTACTTATCAGTCCTCTTTAGGGTTCTGTAATGATCAGAATGACACATTCACATATGTAAAATGTGTTTATGGGGAAATAATACTTTTTTTAAAATATGCTGCAGTTGATATACCTTTATTTTGTCCTTTCACTAGATGCATATGACAGAATAACATTCTTTGTTTCTCTTTACACTTAATTACATTGAGGATTTTAGAAAACTGTCTTCATCAGTTATCTATCCTGAATTGATCAACTTTTCAGCAAATATCTCGTTTAGACTTACTCCATGAAAAAGAACATACCTTAAAAATTTACCAAATATATTATTTTGAATCTGTGGTCTCTCTTCAATGTTAACATCCCAAATAGTAACTTGTCATAGGATTTAAATATTTTTATTATTATTTTTTGAGATGGAGTCTTGCTCTGTCCCCAGACTGGAGTGCAGTGGCCCGATCTTGGCTCACTGCAACCTCCGCCTCCTGGATTCAAACAATTCTCCTGCCTCAGCCTCCTGAGTAGCTGTGATTGTAGGCATGCGCCACCATGCCCAGCTAATTTTTGTATTTTTAGTAGAGATGGGGTTTCACCATGTTGGCCAGGATGGTCGTGATCCACCCACCTCAGCCTCCCAAAGTGCTGGGATTACAGGCGTGAGCCACCGCACATGGCCGGGTTTTAAAACTTTCATAAGTTTTGCATTGTAGCTAAAATGCATATTAAAAGAACTTTAAAATATTATTTCCCCAGTAAATTGTATTATTATATTGTTCCTTATGCATAGGTATATCTCTAGACAGTTAAATCCACAAGATAAGATAGGTCTAAGATTAAGAGGCTACTGTTATATACAGCGGCATCTTTGATTTCAGAGAGTTCAATTTTTTTTCAAGGAGACAGTAAGCAATGCAATATTTTCTTGATTTTTACACTGAAAAATATGCTATGAAGGAAGTTTGAGTACTAAGCCTGTGGGAGAAAAAATTGGAATTTCTTAATGTACTATGAACAGTTATTTCTATATTGCTTTTAGCCTTTGTTTTCTATTTGAATAAAAATATAAAAACCAAACTATGCAGTTCACTTTTCTTGACTATGAAAGTAAAAATTTGTCATTGGATATGACTCACATTTCATTAAAATGCATACAAATGCGTTCTGGGATAGATACACATTTTCATTTATGGATACATATGAATATATATTCCATATGTTTCATTTATAGATTTATCGATATAAATGAAAACTTAATTGAATCATGTTCTTAAATAAAGATGCTCAATAAGTTTTTCATGACCACAACACTTTAAGAGCATTTATTTTATAATTTGGAACTTGAACAAACCCACAAAGTGAACAGATTCTTAAGCTATTACCCATTTTGCTAGTGTACTATAGCAACGATTAATATATTACTTTAATCTCAAATTCTTGATTAACGTAGAATACATAATTCAACATTCTATTGTGACTTCCCTGGAGGAAGAGTTAGAAAAAAGCCAATGATTCTTAAATGCCTCTGAGTCGTTTTGAAAGATATTTTAGGGGGAAATAATATTGAAATGTACTTAGGTGAAATTTAGGTTATTCTTCTGTTAAAAAGATTGGAAATACTGTCAAGAAGGGCTATTTACTGTACCACACTAACCAATTCTCTATCAGTGATTGAAAAGAAGAAAAATGCTATCATTCTGTCCAATGTTCCTTCATTTTGCACATCAAGGGCACAGCTCAGAAGGTTGGTAATGTCTAGCCTAGTGAGATACATAAGCTGATAAATTATTTGCAACAGCCTTGATTTAGACTTATTAACTTTAAAACTTTTTATACATTTTGTTTCTAAGCTTTTAAAATATTTTAAAATAAATGTTATCATCAGATCATGAACATAATGCAATACTTCCAATTGCCTGTATGCTTTTGAGGAGGCTATACAAATATTAATTTTCCAGTTCTAGAATTAAGAGAAAGAAGATTGCAGAACTTATCTTTTTGCTCTAAGTGATACTGAAAATAACACTGACAAGGTCTCTGGGCCAGTGGCGACGGTGAGTTCAAATAGATGAAGCACGTATTTTAGGTAAGATACACATCTTTAAATACTGTGTATATGTGTGTTCAGGAAGGAAAACCTGCTTTTGTTTTAAGCAGATGTTACAAACGATGGTTTTTTTTTTTCAACTTGCAAAATCTCTTGAAGGTTGGAGCAGAGCCGGTTACCTTTGAGCATCGAAATACTGCACGTTATCCCGTTTCCTTTTCCCTTCAGGAAAGATGGATGCAGGATTGAGATGTTACACGAGAGCTAAGAGAGCCACCAGCTTGGCATAGAAGAAAAAGCAAACCCAAAATGAAAACACCCAGATTTTAAGCGTGGATCCTGAGAGGCCGGTTTGCACTGGCCGAACGTCTGCGTTAACCCTTTGGGTGCTGCAGCCAGGATCCCCAGTGTCTGCGGATCCGACCGGCAGGAACAGAGATTTGGTGCCCTGCGCCCGCAAGGGGAGTGGGTTCTCCTCCCCAAAGAGGGAGCGAGCCGGGAAGCACTTTTGTCGTCCGACGCGTGCGTCAAGGCCCGGGAGAGGCGTCGAGTCCGGTTTGGAGTGGGGACAGAGACGCGGCGAGGAGCCGCTCAAAGGTCCGCTGACTGGGGGTTCGCCTTAACTGTCCTCGCCAAGAGCGCTCGCCTGGCCCGCTCCCGGGCTCGCTCCTGGGCCCTGGAGGGGCGCGGGCCCGGGGGCGGTTCTGGAGGGGGCCCAGGTGAAGAAGGCACCCGCACTTCTCCTGCGGCAGTAATCGCTCTCCTGCCTCCACAAGTCGCGGCAGCGGCCCGGCCCCGTGCCGAAACAGCAGCTGTGACTGACGGAGTCACCTCCCCGCGCGCCTGAGCCACCCCCTCCTCCCCCGCCGCTCCCTCCCGCACCAACACGTCATGGAAACACGGACGTCAGAGCCTCTCAGCCAATCGCGGGCTGCGACAGGAGGGAAGGGGCGCGCTGGAGGGGGCGGGGGCAGCGGCAGCGGTGAGCCGAGGCGCTCAGGGGAAGGAAGAAAGGGAGGGGCAAGCGGAGGCGCAAGTCCCCACCCCCGATCCTCACTCTGGCCACCCTTTCCCGACCGCGCGGCAAGTTCTAATCGCCGGGCGCGCGCTCGCCAGCCGGGGGCGCGCTTACCGGGTCCTCCCCTTAAACGCCCTCCCAGTGCCGCTCCGCTCCCAGTCCCGGTCCGAGCCGCGCTTCCTCCGCGCGCACGCGCGCGCGCGCGCCCGCCCGCCTCCAGGCTCCCCGCGGACCGCGTCACGTGACCGCGCCCAGCCAAGGCGGCAGCGGCAGCAGCGCGAGCTTCGGCGGCGGCGGCGGCGGAGGCTGAGGCTGTGGCTGTGGCAGCGGGAGCAGCTGTGCCGCCAGCGTGGAGCGAGAGGCGTGTGGGTGTGGAGAGAAGGGAGCGCCAGACCGGAACGGGTGAGCGTTCTCCTCCCCCTGCCTACCCCGGCAATCTTGCGGGCCACCCGGTGCAGACAGGGTCCCTGCCCGGAGCAGCGCGCAGCCCCCTCGTGCTCGGCCGTCTGTTCTCTGGTGCCCGTGGGCCCCTCCCCGAGCGGGCCTGGCTGCGGCGCTCACGGAGGGGGCTGCACCCCGCCCGCCGCTGCCGTTGCGGACGGCAGCGTGAGGCCGGCGGAGCTGCCCGTGCCCAGTGAGCGCGGCGCGCCCTGTGTGCAGCTCTGCGGAGCCGAGGAGGCGGGTCCTGCGGGGACGCGGGCGGCCACTCGGTGGCTGCCGGGCTCTGGGCGGGGACGGCCGGGCGCCGCCTCCTCCTCCGCCGCCGCCGCCGCCGCCGCCTCCGCCTCCGCCTCCTCCTCGCAGTGCAGCGTGAGTAGGGAGCCCCGGCTGGTGGACGCCGAGCCTCTCGGCTCCGAGGCGGCCCCATCCCCGAGGTGCAACTGCACCTCCGCGTGGCGCCCCGAGCCTTGCGAGCCGGCTGCGGACGCGCTGAGGACGGAGCCCCCATCCTCTGCGTTTCCTGCTGCCCCTCACTGTCCCGCGACCCTCCTGCAGCCTCCCTTTCCTTCCCCCTCGGAAAATGGTTCCTACTGCCGGGCGAGGTGAGTGGCCGCCGCCGCCCGCCCGCGGCGGGGGCGGCAGGGCAGGTCACCTGCGGGGGAGGCCGGGCGGAGCACCGAGGTCTGGCGTCGCGGCGGGGGTCCTGACAGCTGGGTGCCCCGAGGGTTGCGGCGGATTCGGGAGAAGCTGGTGGGGGCGGCTGGGGCCCCTCACAGGTTGTCTCTTGCTGGGAGATTGTAAAGGTGAGCGGGCTTCTAGCCGTGCACCTCAGCGCCGGGTCCGTCTGGGAGTCGCTGCTCCAGCCCGAGGGATGGGGCTGGTTAGGGCTTCTGGTCTACACCGCAGGTCTTCGGCTTCACTGAGCCGCCTCGGCCGCGCTATAGTCCATCCCGCCACCGGTCGCCCCCGCCACAGCGCATGGTGACCTTGAGGGCACTGTGCCCGGCACTCCCTCTCCCAGCGCCCCGGCGGGGTCACCCCTCTAAATCCTTGCTCTCGGCCCCCCAGACGCACTGCGGGAGGGGAGCGGGGGCCCAGAGTCGGCCCCTGGCCCGGGTGGTTGGTTGGTGCGTGTCAGGACGGTGATTTCCCGGGAGTTGGAGAACCGCCTAGTCTTTCTCCTCACGCCTTTCGTCTGGCCCCCCCAGGATGTTCACATTTGTTTCCGATTCGTGTTTATTCACTTAGTTTAAGAGGAAAAAGCCTGCGCCCCCACCCCCCCTTTTTGGGAAGGAGTCTGTAGGAGGACTGTGTTCCAGTGGCAGGGGTGTGGGGTGGGGGGTTTGCTCCCTTTATCTCATCCTGCGGGAGAATCCTGTGGCTAGGCTGGTTAGCGACCCCTGGTTCTGCGCCGCGGTCACCGCCAGGTTGGTCTCTGTGCGCATTTCATTCACCAGTTTTCTGCGGGACTCGCAGCGCTGGGAGTGCTCGCACCCTGTACGGTGCTTGGCGCGGAGGGGAGGGCAGGGCGTCCGGGTGGGTTAAGGGGGTCTGCAGATCCTTGGAGGGCTCGACCGTCCTCGGCAGGCTTGTACTTACCTTTCCCTTGGGTTAGAGCGCTGCAGACAGCCACCTTTCGCTTCTGTGCCCGCTACTTTTCTGGGTTTCTTAATAATCTAATGGCTTCTCTTGGTATCGATTGGTGTTCGTGATAAATTAGCTACATGTTTCTTTTTCATGCCTGTGTAGGTATATGCATATATCTGAACTTGTCTGCCTTTCAACATGGAAGCCCTTGTTATGTTTAACCTCCCCCACCTGAGGACAGTCTTATTTTAAAATAAGGCTCTTGTTTGGCGTGGATGTATTTTATAAGTACTTCTAAGGGCCTGGTTTGTATGAGGCTGTCATCTGGCAGAGGGTGTGTAACCCTTTGGATGATGGCCCACGTGAGTGAATGGAAGGCCTTCACCACTAGCCCTGATGCCAGCCTGCCTGAAACTCCCTGTCCTTGTGTGTGGCAGGGGCGGATTGGGGGAATTAAAAGGGATTGGAGGAGAATCTGCTTTTTGTACATGTGTGTTTCATTTGGGTCCTCCTCCCCCCAACCCTTTTATCCTTCTGATGACTTCACATTTGAAGTAAATAGAAACATTTCTTAATTGGGAATCTTCGATAACTAGCATATAAAATGGGCTTATTTAGCCATGATTTCAGGAGGACGTTTTAGTTTCTACCTTTCTTTAGATCATGACAGTTAAATTGCTGTAATTAAGGGTGGATCTCTGTCCTGATTTTGGCTTGGGTGTAACTGCAAAGATCTTTGAAAAGTAACTGTTATTTCCTACCATATAGTCTGCAAAAGTGAGTCACATTCGGGTGAGTTGAGGACAGAGCGCCACCTTTAATTTAAAATTTCGTGATTTTCTTGTATTAAAATGGTGAAAATTCGGAGTACGCCTTCTTGATTTTTATCTCAGCTGTCATTATTGGCATCCCCATTTTGACGTATAAGGGGGAATTGTCTTCATTTTTCTGTATTCTCTCATTTCTCACTCTTAGGAGAGAAATTTCTGCAATCGTGTGGGAAATCATAGTTTTTTTTAACTGAAGCTTAAGATTTAATTTAGCATTGTGAGATGAGAAACTAGTTTTGATTTGCGTTTATAATAATGTTGATGGTCTGGATCTTCTTGGTGAAAGAAGAAAAGTAGCAGCTGCTTTTAAATACGTAAACTACCCATTACCACCAAATAAAGGTATCTACCAGCACGACAGTGGTTTTACCGTGTGTGTGTGTGTGTGTGTGTGTGTGTGTGTGTGTGTGTGTTTTAAAGCTGTAGGCCTATTAACAGATTCTAAAATAACACGCAGGATCAGGTATAGTAATTCTTTTTTGTCTGTTGTCTTCCATCAACTTAGCTTTTATGATTTTCTGTTTTACAATTGCTTTTGCTTAAATAATACAAATGAACACTTCGAGCAGGTGTACTTATATTCAAAGTTTAATAAAGACCATGTTAGAAAAAAGTGATTTCTATATGCGGCTTCTCTCAGGTGCATCTCATATAAAAAATAAATGGAAATTTAAATACTTAGAAAACAAATGCTGTAGTGACAGCTGAATTGGTGAGATTGCCTTCCCTTCCCCTCCTTCCCAAATCATATATATAAGGAACACTGTCTCTTTAGACACCGGGTCCTTTTTTATTATTATACTGCAGTTGTTAACAGGAGAAAAAGTATTTAGCTCTCAAGTAATGAATTAAAATGTGGGTATTATTACAAATAGTCTTTCTTACAAACCACAAAATATTACTGCCCTTCTACCTGCATTTAAGTTTTCATTCAACGCTTGGAATTCATCTGTAGACTACTGTAAAGCATTAGCTATTGAGGTATAGGTAAGTCTTTATTAAATTAAAATTAGCCAGAAAATCTGAGATGAAAGATGTTTTATGCTCTTACTGTTATGTATTCTCTGTCAAGCTATGGAATATGGCCCCAGGTTAAAAGATATTATTTGAGCTATTAGATGGATGCATGCAGAGTAATTATTTGTTGTTAGGTATACTTCGATAGAATCCTTGATTTTAGAGTTTACTAATTTCCTTTGTCTGACAGACATGTTAACTTCATTTCAGATGAAACATTCTTACCATGGGAAATGAGTTTTAAAAGGAATGGCCAATTAAAACTATTGGTCTTTTGTAATACTGAACAAAAGAGTATTTGCTTTTTTTCCCTTCCATTTCACACGATTACAGTAAAATTGATGTCTTCACTTTTTTGTTCTGGAATTTTGTAATGAAAGAGCAAAAAACAATAAAAGGTCTAAGGATCAGAAAGCAGAAACAAAGATTTAAGTTTTTGAATCTTGGGTAAGAGTATTGACCAGTTGGAAGGGAATAATTATTTTCTAGTAGCTGTCGTGATATGTAATAAAGGTATTAATAGTAGCTTATTTGGGACTAGGTAGAATCTGAGGTGACATTGCCAGGAAAATAACATACAATAGTTACGGGAATAATTTTCATAAAGTAAAATAACTTTTAAAAATTACGTTTTAACTTTTAGAAATGTTATTTATACATACCACATACATTGTTATCTTGTTAAAATTTTATATTATAGAAATTGTCAAACATGAGAAAATAGAATGATACACCTACTGGCCAGTTTTGACAATGACCAACTCATGGTGCATCAAATTTTATTTGTATCTTAACACAAGAAATGGATCTGTTATAAATGGGTACATAGGACAGGTAATCAAATTGAATTTTTGTTTTATATTTGTAATTTACAGAATACTGTATACTCAATAGTGTCCAATATTTAATTAAATCTGAATGGTCAGTTTTTATGTTCTTCATTGATTCTTTAGCAGCATATACATTTTAATATTTCTGGTGATAGTTTGTGTGTTTTACAGCAGGTACCCAAAGGTAGTGTCTCTCAAATTTTGCTGTCTTCATAAATCACAGACGTTATTAAGTGCTTTACAGTTTTCAGAATGTATTTACATAGTACCTCATTTGATTCTCACAAATGGTAAGGTATGGTAAGGTATGGTAAGGTAGACATTTGTCCTTTTTTTTTTTTTTTTCCTTTCCCCCTGTAGGTAAAGTGATTTGTCTAGGCCCTAAGGTCACATAGCAGTTTTTTTTTTAGCCCAAACTGGACTCTAGGTGGCTTCTAGTTTTTGTTCATTGCTCTTCTCGTTATACATGTTTATGTAAGTTTATGAAAGTTATGTATGGAAAATCAATTCTGATCAGAGTAAATTTAATGATGAAATATAAATAGGTTTGTTTGGGTTAAGCTTTATACATTTAATCATACTTATATTTTGTGTAATGCAAACAGTTTGTATTTTAATTTACTTGACAGCTGAGCGAATGTGAATGTATCTGAAATACTATATTTTTAATATTGTGGATTTTTTTAAGTAAGGAATT